AATAACTTTATCTTGATTTAAAAGTACAGTAATAATCTAAAAAAAAAAAGAAAGTGAAAAACTTCAATGCGTATAAAATTTGATAAATTGTATTTTGGAGATACAACTCATCACATAGTCAAATAGTTTCCCTATGCAGGGATGCTAGTTGTTGAGGCATTCTCCTGATATTGCCTATACGCATTATTATAAGCCTAAATTACTTGCTGATTAGTTCTGGTCGTCAATTGTACTCGTTGTGATCTGATTCACATTATGAAATGATGCTGTTCAAAAGCAAATGTGTGTGAACTAAAAAGAACTATAACCTTTTTCTAGAATTCTCCAGGATCTCATAATTTGACCATGACTTGATTAAGGTAGGGTCAACTAGAAAGTATACCATTTTAAACACAAAGGGTTTTCTTAATCAGTGAAGCCGTCTATGAATAATCAGATAACATACATAAAATAAAAGTTGCCAACGACCATTCGTTGGCAACGAAATTCTCATTATTTTACCATAGAGATAATTCTCCAGTATTAACAGTATTCAGTATTGTGCACATTAATGTTTCCATTTCTCTATAGTGGTTATGTCAGCTTACGTGTTTCTTAACATTAGAAAAAAGACTATACTTAGGTTCTGTAAAAACGATGGTTCTGTTGTGCGCTAATGAGCAACACAAGAACACAAATCTATTCGCATTCTAATAAAAATCGAATCTTTATTTCAAACAGGCCCTTTTTCTTATACTCGTATAAACCAGACTATTCCAAATATAAATTGACCACAATAAAGACGATAATCCCTAAACAGTCTTCAGGTTCATTTTCAGATAAGATCTTCATCTGATGTCCATAGTTATCGGAGAGTCAAATACTCGTAGTGTAATCTAACTACGGTAAAATTATGATTTTAATCATGTTGCTTTTTGCTATTTATGCTTTACACGCAAAATCTAGATATCAATACCATACCATACTATACGCAACTAATGCACCACAAATAAATTAAATTTCAATATCTCATTGACCCAAATTATGCTGTCCCCATTCAATCGTAACCGCATCGCCATTTGTGCTTTGGGACTGTATAGATTTTTGTAGTGTTAATGGGTAATTTCAAATAACATACATACATTGATAATTCAAACTTGGAATTCTGAATACTTTTAAGCCATAAATTTAATAAACAAAATTATCTGCATTGCTTTCTTCTTCAAACATTAAAATATTGTTTTGCGTGTAGCCAATATCAATTTTTATATTATTCAAGCTATGGCCTGTCAAAACTTTTTAGATTAGAAACTTTTTCCGAACCAAGTATTTTTTTGGTATTCAAGACACGTTTCGTCTTAGCCGGAGATCGGAAAACTTGTACTGATATGAAAATATTCATTCTTGTGAAGACAAGCTCTCTCAGAATCTATTACCCTTTATTACACTCTTGTAAATGTAAAAGCACTTAAAACTATAGTGGAAGAACTAAAGAATTTCTCCAGTTAAAATGTGAAAACGCTTTATGGCCGCGATGGCTGTTAGCACTTGCGAAATTCAATTTCGTTGGCGTGGCCTGCCTGCTGATTGCCTTAACTTAAGCGTGTATATGTCCAACTTGACGAATTCTAATTTTTAGATATATATTTTTAATTTCTAAATTTCAAAATTGTTGAAGGATTATTACTAACTTACTAACATGGCTTTGTTATGTTTTAGATAGCTTGTTTGTTTTTGTTACATTATTGATCTATATTTTTTTTTGCATTTAGAAATATGTTTAGCATTGTTCTCAGAATATTAAAATTTCAAAACAACACATCTGACATGCTTCAGACGAAAGGTACTGGTATTTTAACGTAAATATACTTAAATTTGACCTAATTTAAGTAGACGAGAATTGAGTCAATAAAATATAACTCAACGCCGAACAAGGGTTTTCTTTATGCTCACTTATTTAAAGTACTCCATTTTATGTGGGTCGGTTAAAACTACTTTTGACATGACATTGGTTCTAATTCTGTTGTTCATAAACTCTCTAAACTAAACTAAAAATCACTAAAAACAATGTTTATCTGTCAAATACTACGTTTTCAGAATAGGAAACGTTGTTTGACAGAACTAAACAAATTTTTTGTGATTTTTCATTTAGTTTAGAGAGTTTTCGAACAACAGAATTAGCACATTTGTGGTATTTTCTGTAGTAAAGGTGTAATTGCGTACAAGTACACAATAAATGCTCTTAGTGTTTTCTTACTAGAATGATTTTCTTTATTTTTATCTAAGAACTTTTTGGTTTAATATTTCGTCTACTTTGCTTTGTGCTAAAAATTAATCGAGTTTTTACTTAATAAGTTGTCAAAACCAGAGATCGCGATTAAACGAGTTTTCTTTTCAATTCAAATGTGGTTAAATGTTATTTCAAAATAAGTAAGCCATTTAAAAATAAATACGATCAAAGTCCTATAGATACTTAACAAAATTTTGAAAGTCATTTAGAAAATAAGCTACTTTGTAATAAAATTTTATTTGGCTAAACACAAAATTAAAAATTACTAAAAATAATAATATTATTCCAGGACAACTTATATAGCAAGTATAAGCGTCAACCGGGATATTAACTTCTAGCGTTAGCTTTGCAACGGTCAGGCAGTTTTGAGTGGTTTCATTGGCCTACAAAAATGTCCAACTGCGGTGGTGGACCGGTTAGATTGGAGGAACCTAAGAGGTAGTTGAGTTCTATAAGTGCCAACTTATCAAGTCCACTGCATGTCATGTTTGGCTGTTCAGCTCAAAACTAAATTCATATAAAAAGTACTATGAATTTTTTTCATTTTCAGTTAATTTTCTATGACTAACCTTGAAAAAACAGTAAGTCCTAGATAATCCTTTTCGTTTTTTTAAAGTGTGTAAACCATCTAGTTTTATAATAAGTAATCATCGTGTAACTCTGTGGTAATATCTTTTTGTGAATTAAATTCATTTATCATTTATCAGTACGGTCATTGCATCTCAAATAAAGCATGTAACCGCTTTTCTTCTTAGGCGGACTACTCACCGGCTGACCTAGTGGAGAGTTTTACGAGATTGCCTCAGGGCGCCTTCTAAGAGAACAGAAGTGTGTGCGTGTGGGAAACCTACGGGATTCCTTAGAGGAAAACAACTTACACCTCAGTCATACATACATGTATATTCCAAAAAAAAAATTAAAGTTACATTAAAAAATAAATTAATTAATTAGTGGGTACAAGAAAAACCGCAGCGGCGCGCGTCAGAGCCGAGCTGATGATGCTCGGAGCCTCCTCGTCTTCACTCCAGGAGGTCACCTCCCCTTCCGCCCGAGTCAGCTATTTATATTAGGTATTGAGGAAAGTTCACTATTGGTATTTATAAAGTTAACGAGAAGTACGTCACCCTTGAGTACGGCTGTCCGCTTGGTTTGTGAGCCGTGTAACTGCCAGTTTGCCAGAGGGTACCGAGAAACTTGAACTCGCACCAGAAGGCCACAAATGAACAAGCACGCCGTCTGAGACTGACCGTCTTGACCCGAAATCTGGGACCCTACGAATGGATTAGCACTCATATTATCGATCAGGTTCCAGAAACAAATAAGTACAAGAAAAATTAAGAATATACTCACCACTTTCGTGGGTACTTTGAACAGATAAGATATTACGAAAATAAAATCACCAGACAAATAAAACACTATTCAAGATTGGAAGACAAGAGTTAGCAGAGTGTCCCCCGTGGCTGAGAGCCGGACTTATATATGTTCGGTTTGTGAAGTTTCCAGAAATAATCCCTACTTAACATTTCAATTTGACATTTAAATTATCAATGAGGTCAACACTAATAAAATCAAAAGTAACTCGCTTCCTACCATAACAAAACACTTTTAACACCTATACAATTTGTCATGATAAATTAATAAAATGACTTATCTACAAAACAAACGCCATCTAGTGGTCCGACGGCGAACGAAGAACAACAATACTATAGCTACAAACTACTTTGGATAAATCAAACAAAATGCGACACGGGCAATAGGTGTCGCTGTTAACAAGTCCGTACGCAATACAAATATACTAAAAAAAATAACTGTTACAAGCACAAACACTTAGTTCCGGTGAATTATATAACTTAACACACATATTGTATTTTATCACTTTCTTACGAATGCAAAGAAGTAAATTCAATTACTTATTTAAAAATATTTGCAGTGAGCAGAATTCTAACTATGGCTATTTATTTTTAGTTTTATTTAAATCTTCTTTACTTAATTTCATTGATATAAAATATTAAGCTTAGACTTACGAAGTATTATGTTTTTTTGCACTAACGTGATTGTCAACCACTCAATATTATATAAATTAGGTACTTTAGCGAGTAGTAAAAACGTCTGAGAAATGTATGGTAGCAGTAAAATAACAAAAAACTAATGACGAATAATGTCTGCAAATAAAAAATGCAATTTAAATGAAATAAAATATGCCTAATGTTATTGTGTATTTAGTTAAACTAGAAATCACTACAAACAATAAATAAAAATTCGTTTAATTTTAATTCTATTTTTTGACCAGTATAATCTGAACTGTCATTATAAAGACAAACCACCATGACAGGTCAAAACATACTGGCAACTTGTAGCTTGGTTTCCATGTTTTCACGTTTTTTTTTTAATTTGTAGAACATAATTTCCCTTATGTTATCCTTCCGCTCTACATAAACTTTCAGTGTTCAAAATTTCCCGTGAGTGCTTAAATATTTTGTTTCAAAAGTGCGTATAAAACATTGAATAATGTAAAGTATATTAGTGTGTAGTTAGAATGTTTCATTCGTTTATAACATTCTTATCAAGATTATAACATAATAATATTGTAACGATAAGGTCAGATACGTCGAAAGATGGCTCGAAGTATTTAATTATTGAATTGTCACAACTCACAAGTAGGTGACTTGTGAGTTGTGACAGTTCATTTCGCGAGAGCGACGCCTGCGCACGTGCATTTGTGTGTTTAAAAATGGAGTGGTTAATAACAGATGACGGTTGGTAATAAGGTTTTTATTTGTCACATAAATATTAATATGCACATTCGTAGAAATAGAAGTGCTCTAGAATATTGTGATGTTATGGTTTTCAAGACAATGGTCTATATCGTGTCTACGTTGCATAACTTAGAGAAAGTGCTCGAATTATTTACTGCTTGTTTTGTAATGATTATTTGTTATTTGTAGTCTAAAAATAAAAACATTACAGAACCTCGTTGAAATTTGCACTAAATACAATCTAAATCAGTTAAAACGCTAGTTTTAGTATATTTTTTTTGGCGACAAAAACAGATCTTTAATATTATTTTGTATTTATCGAAATTAATAGGTACCTATAAAGTTGGAGATTTTTAAAACCAGCATTTTCAGATTTACGCGCAAATCGAAATTCAAATAATTTTTATTTCGAATAAAAATTACACAACAATTAAAAATAAAAACCTTGTTATTTTACTTTAATATTAGTGTTTTGAAATTCGTGTGTGAAATAGTGTTAGTTATAGTATATAATTATTTAGCATCTCAGTATACAATCTCAACTACTAGCGTAAAGGGCGCAGAAGCTCGAAGAAAGTAAATCCATATTTAAAAAAAAATGACAGACCAGCAACTGTTATCTTGCGTCGAATCTTTATAACTTATGTGTTGTTGATAAAAAGCTATATAGGGTTTGACGCGGGCATCGCGCCACTGAGCACGCGTGTGACTCATTCGTTTGCTCGGTTATCGCGTGTTGTTTACAAGTTTACGTGTCGAATATAATAACATTCCAAGATTAACCTATGCTGTAAGGGTAACTCCTAGTACTAGGAGTCCCTTTTTTTCAGCATGAACCTTACCCCAACGTATCGAAAACCCCCAAAGACTCAGTTAACTACACAAAATGACAATGTTAAGAATAATAGTACTTCTAGCTACGCCAACGTAACGTCCACAACAATGTTTCCCAAGAAGGATCAAGCTATCATACTTGACTCGATTGACGGCATAACGCTTAAAGATTACATCACCGCACTATCATCTATTGTACCACCGGCGGCACTATCATCTATTAGATTTGTTTCACGAATATCAAATGCTCGAATATGCGTATATTTGGACACTAAAAAAACAGCGGATGATCTTATACACAACAAAAAAAAATTATATTAAAGAATAATTGCCTGGAAATAAAACCACTTATTACGAGAAACAAACGTATAGTTCTATCAAATGTCTGTCCAGTAATCCCACACTATATTATAGAACAAAAACTCGAGGAAATCAATATTAAAACAATGTCTCCTATAACATTTATGAAAATAGGTGCAACTGAACCAGGGTTTTCTCACATTCTGAGTTTTAGGAGACAACTTTGTGTGACACCAGAAGATGAAGAACGTCTTCCAGAATCATTTCAGGTTACCTTTGAAAGTACAAATTACTGGATTTACGTATCGTCTGATTCTCTCAAATGTTTTTCTTGCAACATGGTGGGACATGTCGCCAGAAATTGTCCGAAAATTATACTTCACTCACAGCAATTCTCTACAGAGCTGGAAGACCATCTAGAAGAAGAAATTAGTAAAACCTTTGATAGAAATGACGACTTAATACAGGGCCCTACATTCGTTCAACCAACAACTACATCAGAAGAATACTCACAAATATCACAAACCTTCACAACAACAATAAAACAATAAAACGCCTTCATTCACCTACTGTAAGTGAATATTCAAGAGATGATCCCATAAAACCCTTAGAGCCAAAAGGAGATGACACATCTGATATCATGGAAGAAAGTGACGAAACATGTAGCAATATTTCGTCCGAAGAAGTAGAAAATAAAGTTAAAACTAAGAAAAAAATAAAGATAAATGACTTGAGAACAGATGAAGAAATTTGGGAAGAAATTAAAGAAAATATAACTGATTTAAGCAAAGAATTTCCGATTAATCTTGATCAATTTATTAGTTTGCTCGATAATTCCAGGGGAAAACAAAACATAAAGGAACTAGTTCATTCATATACAGACAATGTCAAAGACTTAATTAAAATGTGTAATACATTACATTGCAAAATGAATAAAAGTCTAAAAAATAAGTGTTCCCGGTTGACAAAAAAACTACACGGAATTTACTCAACTTAGTGTGGTAATCTTATTTGTATTATTATTTTTATTATTGTTTACTCATTTCTACATTTCCTTGTTATTATTCTTATATTATTTACAATTTACATTCATGGATTTTTTGCAATGGAATGTCAATGGCTATTACAAACGTTTAGAGAATATCAAATTATTATTGAATAAGTTGAGTCCAGCCTGCATTTGCTTACAAGAAACTAACTTTACAGATGACCATTGTGCTCTAATCAAAGGTTATGAACATTTTTCAAAAATAGGCTGCAGAGAAACAGAGCAAGTGGTGGAGTTGTTATTTACATAAAACCATATACCCTGCCAGATAAAGTGCACGTTAATTCTAATTTAGAAGTTGTAGCTGTAAAAATTAAATTTCCTTTTTCAATAACCATTTGCAATATATATCTTCCGAATAGCAAACCATTAACCAAACTTGATTTAAATGTCCTAGTAAGTCAACTTCCAACACCGTTTATAATTTTAGGTGACTTTAATAGCCACCATTTCTACTGGGGATCTGCAACATGTGACACCAGAGGAAGGATAGTTGCTGAGTGGTTGGATGAGCAAGACAATATTCTATTATTGAATAATGGCCAACCCACACATTTTAACAGCAATACAGGTCATACTAGTAATATAGATCTTACTATTGCTTCACAAAACATGATTTCATATTTTGAATGGAATGCTCTAGACGATTTGTACGACAGTGATCACTTCCCCATTACAATAAAATCGCTTTTACCACAAAATGAATCACATGTTCATGACATTAAATATTCACAGAAGTGGATTTATGATAAGGCTGATTGGTCAATGTTCCGCGAAGAAATTGCTAGTAGTAGTCTAAATTTATTAGCTTTAAACCCTAATGAGTAAATTAACAACATTGTACAAATATTCACCCAATTAATAATAGATGCTGCTAAAAAATTTTTACCTTGGTGGAATACTGATTGTAAAGTTGCAGTTAAAGAAAAGAAAAAAGCCTTTAGAAATTATAAAAAACATCCAGAAAACCAAGAGTTTAAAGTTGAATTTAAGAAAAAAAGGGCATACTCTAGAAGAGTCCTTAAGGAAAGCAGAACAAAGTGTTGGCAAAAGTGGGTTTCGTCAATAAATAGTAATATTCCAACAGGAGAAATGTGGAAAAGGATTCATAAAATTAATCATAGCAACATTGGAGTGAATAATATTGTAATTGAAAAACCAGATGGAACATTAACAAATCAGCCAGTTGAAACGAGCTACCTACTATCGCAAGCATTTGCCAATAATTCAAATTCAAGTAATTATGACAGTGAATTCATAACCTACAAGAACAATCAAGAGCTGAACCATAACTTTGATACTCACAATAACTCTGATCCAATTAATAGCGACATATCTATGCAAGAATTAATATCAACAATATCACAAGCACAAAATAGTAGTCCAGGGCCAGATAATGTTTCCAACGTTATCATTAAGCATTTACCTGAAATAGGCCTTGAGTATTTGTTAAAAATTTACAATCAAATATAGAAAAATCAAATATTCCCAGATGGGTGGAGAGAAGCTCTAGTGATCCCAATTTTAAAACCCGGTAAAATTGCGAGTTCTCCTAAAAGTTACAGGCCTATGGCACTAACATGTAATCTTTGTAAAATATTTGAAAAAATAGTAAGTAAAAGACTCAGATGGTATTTAGAAACGAATAATTACATTTCACCATTTCAGTATGGTTTTAGGCAGTTTAGGTCAACAACTGACCATTTAATGAATATTGAAACTGAAATACTAGATGGATTTGCAAACGATAATTATGTGATCACTGTAGCTCTTGAGAAGGCATACGAAATGGTTTGGAAGCACAGAGTACTCGTAGTTTTGCAAGATATTGGTGTTGGGGGAAATTTACAAAAAACTTCTTATCGAATAGGTCAATTAAAGTCAGAATTAATAATTTAGTATCTGATTCTATCAATATCGAAAATGGGCTTCCTCAAGGTTCAGTTCTTAGTGTGATTTTGTTCTTGCTAGCCATTAATGACTTGCTTACCTGTATAGAACGACCAGTTAAGGGTTTCCTCTTTGCGGATGATTTAACGATCACTTGTATTGGGACTACCTTAAAACCTACCTTACAAACACGGAAGTTAGACTTAGATTAAATGGACACAATATTAAAGAAGTAAATAATATTAAACTGTTAGGCTTAACATTCGACAAAAAGATGTCTTGGATAGCACATATAAATAAACTTAAATCAGAGTGTTACAAAAGGATAAACATTATAAAGGTCTTATCATCGTTAGCATGGGGATCTGATAAAGAGTGTCTGTTGACCACGTATTACGCGCTCATTAGGCAAAAAATAGACTACGGTGCTGTCATATATGACTCTGCTGGTTCAAGAACTCTAAAATCACTAAAAAGTGTACAAAATACAGCGCTCCGTCTTTGTATTGGTGCTTTTAAAAGTAGTCCAATTATAAGTATATTGGCTGAAGCTGGAGAAATGCCCTTACAGTTTAGAAGGAAGCAACTTGTTTTAGTTTACACTGCAAATATTTTATCTCAACCTGTTAAGGAGCACGGCTTGGGTTATTGTAAGACTGTATCTTTTAGTATTGTTTTGTACCCTTATTGTTGTTTTATTGTGTATGCGCCGCGTTTCCGCATGGGCGCGGGGAAAGGATAGCGGGGGGACTGTTGCACGTGGCCTGAAATGCACGTTGCACCAGTCCTCCAGGCAGTCGATAGCTAGCCTCCCCGCCAGGCAGTCCATAGCTAGCCTTCTCGTAGTGTAGTTCTTGTAGTTGTAATAATGTGATTAAATAGTCAATATTCCCGTGTCTGTATGTTTCTCTGCTACTTACTGATTATCAACCCCGCACCTCACTTACACAACCTAATAACCCCACCTATGAATATTTAAAAAAAGTAACAACTTCAGATCTTGAATACCAATCCCGACCTAATTTACCAAAACCTCTGCGAATTAGAGTAGCAAAATACTTAAAAGAATTGAATTTCACGTTCCCATTAGTCTTTGAAAAAAAGAATTTGACTGTAGGGCCATGGGAAGTTCCTAAATTCCCCATTAACCTCGAATTAGCTGCCAGGTTAAAAGATGATACACCAGATTATATTTATAAAAACCTATTCAAGGAAATGCACTACAATCATAGAGACTACAAAACCTTTTATACCGACGGATCGGTCTTGAATGAAAGAGCTGGTTGCGCGATTGTGTCAGATAACAACTGTTCCCAATATAGACTTCATAATTACCAGTCCATTTTCAGTTGCGAATCAATTGCTATACTTAAAGTCTTAGAAATTATAGAAAGTAAACCTAAAGTAGAAAAATATATATTATATACAGATTCAAAATCATGTTTAATGGCTTTACAAAATAATCAAAATACGCACCCCTAATTAGAGAAATAAAGCAATCAATGATTAACCTATTGAGAAATAACTATTCGTTTGAATTAATTTGGATCCCAAGTCATCAGGGCATTAGTGGTAATGAAAAAGCCGACAAAGAAGCTAAAAATGCTACAACTCAAGAAGTAGACAATTCAATAAAAAGTAGCCCAGGTGAATTAAAAAAATACTTTAAACATGAAATAAGATTACTTTGGGATTCTGAATGGAAAGCTGGTAACACAACTAAGTAACTTAGCATCAGACAATCTGTTTTCGACAAATCACCGTCTTCATTTTCGTGTAAGAAAGACCAAGTTATAATAACAAGACTTCGCATTGGACATACTAATCTAACTCACATTATATCTCTAACTCATATTATATATATTACATCACATACTAATTGCAAATGTGGCCAGGACTTAACTGTTTTACGCATTTTGATAGATTGCATAACTTATAGATATGAAAGAAATATTTGTAATATGCCTGATAATTTAAGTGACTGTTTAAGCCAAGACGGATATGTTAAAACTCTGGTGTTTTTAAAACTAATTAATGTGTACAAATTAATTTAAGTTTCCTCAGTGGTCGTTAATGACCTTAGTTGTTAAAAAGCGACCTTAAATAAATATATAAAAAAAAAAAAAAAAAGCTATATAGCTGCATTTGCCAGGGGAAGGAAGATTTTCTAATTATCTTTTATTTCATTGTTTTTATTAGATTCAATTATCAAAAGTTCAAGTCACAATCAAACGAGAGAGACAGGAAACTATTTATACCGATAATTTACATACGTAGGCGGTCTTAGCCATGTGTGACGTGTAAAAGAGAAAGCCACACGACCATTATTTGGGTCCCAGTATGTTGGTCTATATTTTTACAACCAGTTTATGTTGAATGCTTAACAATATAATACAAAAGGCACATTTTCAAATTTTCATCCATAAAGTCTTACAGAAGATTTGTTTTTAGGCATTTAGACCACCGTTGAATAAATTTGTGCATGAAGTTATGAAATAAATAATAGAGAATATTTTTGCAAGTTATTCATTATTTAATTAGAGGTCATTCATAACAGAACTACTAGCTACTAGCTATATGAATTAGACGTTCTTTTATCGAATCCGTATAGTATAAATACAATTTCAGTTTAACGAATGTATACCTCTCACTTAAGTTTTAATTATTAAAGTTTGAGAGAATGCAGTCACACTGTCTTTTATTAGTACACATTAACACTTACTACAATTTTACAATTCCGGTTTCTATTTTATATATTTTGTACCCTCTTTCTTCTTATATATTAAAAAATACACATACATTACATTTCTATTAATTTCTTTCGGTTGTCACTTTTCCTCATAGGACACTTTGATTATTAATAATATAAAAGCCCTCTAATGCAGTTTTTTTTATGGAATAGGGGGTAAACGAGCAGACGGTTCACCTGATAGAAAGCGACTGCCGCCGCCCATGAATGCCTGTAACTCAGGAGATATTTGGATTTACAATAACCAGACTGCCGATAAACATTACATATACAGACAAACATATGTCTATAATATACCCAGATTAATATAGACATAAGTATGTACTGGGTACAGTCAAACAGAGAACAAATAATCATGCTCATACTCGTAGTACAATAATTTTTCTTGTTTGGAACTTGCACCCACAATTTTTTCCATAGCGATCAGTATCACTTACGAGTACTACTAAATCTACGGTTATCCTACTTATCCTTATTAAATCAGAGGTGCAAAGTTACTCTTGGTGTCTTACAATGTAGTGAAGAGTTATTACAAAATATTAAATATGGTTTATAAGGGCAGCAAAATAATATCAGAAATATTAAAAAGTGAAATAAAATACAAACAAGGAAACATTGGAATGGTGCAATTTTTAAGCAGGTTGCATTTTTTCTTTATTCCAGGAAAGTACAGAATAGAATCTCTGTCAGCTGCAACGTTCCACGGTGCATTAAGAGTGAGTACCTCCTCGTCGTAAGTACTATCAGGCTACTTTGTCTGCTTCGATTTCCTTTAACAAACTCTTAAATACTACAACATATTTTTTGTTAATAAAGTCATGCAAAAACATCCGAATTGGTATCATTTACCTACTATGGGATTAAGTGCTGTTTGCTTTAGTTATTCTCCATAGCTATTCTCCTAGCTCTTCCCATGAAGACTATTCTGAGAAGCCTCTCATTTCATTGGTCAGTTTCAAAAAGATACTACTTTCATGATTATGTTAATACACTAACCAATTGAACTGGCAAGGTCCAAGTAAGTTATAACCTGGCAAAAGTTAGTTTAAAAAAATAGATACTGTTGCTATTATATACAAATAACTTTCAATTCGGCAACAGTGTTTATCTCTGAAATTTATTATTAGATTATTACTTTATAATCATGATACAGCACCGTCTCCTTAGTATGAACTTATAAATAAAAATCATACAAATTGATTAAGTTTCGTTTTCGATTAGTGTACATTAACATCTAGAGCCGCTCTTTAAAAATATATTTTTTATCAACTCTACGATTGACGAACCTTAAACGAATACAAATTATTTAATAACCGATGACTGTGAAATTTGTGTAATTAGTTTAAACCCTGTAAACTATGAATTAATAGATTTTTACTAACAATTTCATATTGATTGTAGTAATTTCACAAAACTTGGAACAAAACGTAAACTCAAGGCAAAATGAATCATTTTTTTTTTTTTTTTTTTAACGTGTGGAAATCCCCTCGGACCGTCACCCCACCGGGGTTTGCGGCGGGGTGGTGTGTCGGACTCGAACCGACTAAAACCACACGGTGTGCCCTCTTTGCGCTTCCAGTTTAGGAGGGGTCCAGGTAGTTATCGCCTTCTGGACCCCTCCTAGCGCCGGCCCGCTCCTATTGCGGGCCCCGTCTCAAGATTTTCCTCTCTTTAGGCGACGTCCGGCACACGCGGACGCCGCCCCCTCGCGGCTGGCCAACTAATGCGGGTGGAGGGGAAACCCACCCCGTCCACCCACGGCCACACTCAGGGCGGCATGAGGCGCAGGTAAGCGCGCCTCCGCCGCCCGGTTCGCCGGCGGCGGATCAGGTCCGAGTGGAGGTCGTCCTCCCGGGCCTTCTCCGCCGCCTCCTTCTGCGAGATTACCTCCTCGCAGAAGGTTGCGACCGCGGTAAAACAACTGTCGCTACCGGCCATGGAGCGAATTACGGCCGGTAGCGAGAGATCTGCTCCGATGACTGCAGTGAGGGCCCGGCGCTGCGTCGCCCATGCGGGGCAGACCGCCAGCGTGTGCTGGGCCGAGTCCTCACTGCAGTCGCAGTGGTGGCAGGCGGGACTCAGTTCCCTCCTAGCGACCGAGTGCAGGTACTTTCCGAAGCAACCGTGCCCGGAAAGCACCTGCGTCAGCCGGAAGGAAAGGGCCCCGTGCTGCCGCCCCGCCCACTCGGCTATGACCGGCTGGAGAGCCTCCACGGCGGCGAAGCCAGCGCGTGGAGTCTCCAGCCGGAACGACCATCTGACCATGGTGGCTCGGCGAGCGGCTTCGCGCCACTCGCGCACGTCCTCGGGCGGAGGGCGAAATCCGCTCTCCGCCCGGAAGTCAGCCACTCGCCGATAAACTTCGGCGAGCACTTCCGCCTCCAAATCCCACGGGGGTGTTCCGGCCAAGGCGCAAGCCGCCTCGGTGGACACCGTGCGGTATCCGCGTATGGCTCTGACCGCCAATATCCTCTGGGGGCGCCAGAGGCGCGCCCTATTCGGGGCGGTCAGAGCCGCCACCCACACCGGTGCACCATAAAGCGCCATGGACCGGACAACCCCCGCGTACAGCCGCCTCGTAGGAACACTGGCCCCGCCCAAATTGGGCAAAAGTCGCCCTAGGGCGGAGGCAGTGTCCACCAGCTTCGGACCAAGCTGTCGGAAGTGCTCGTCGAAGAGCCACCTACCGTCTAGGACCAGACCCAGGTACCTCATCTGGGCCCGGACCGGTACGAGGACCGAGCCGACCTCGATTGAGGCGCCGGCGGGTGGACCACGACGGGGCCCATGAAATAATAGGGCCTCCGTCTTATCCAGGGCCACCCGTAATCCCAACGCCTCAATGCGCCCGACCACCTGGGAAACTCCCGTGGCGGCCAGGCGCGCCGCCTCCTGGAAGTTAGCCCCCCGGGCCGTGAGTAAGGTGTCATCCGCGTAGCAGATTACACCCAGCCCGGGGGGGAGACGCCCTCGTAGGGCCCAGTCGTACCCGATGTTCCACAGGAGAGGTCCTAGGACAGACCCCTGCGGAACACCGCACGACATGGCCCTGCGTCTCAAGACGCCATTTCGGTCCTCGTACATGACGGTTCGCTCCTCAAGATAATCTGCCACCAGCCGCCTCAGGTACTCTGGCACTCCGTGGTAGCGGAGCGCTTCCCTGATGCAGCTGAATGGCAGACTATTGAAGGCGTTGGCGATGTCCAAGGACACCGCCAACACCACTCCGCCGCAGCTCACGGCCTCCTCGGTCACGGCCCTAAGGCGCATTACGGCATCGATCGTCGAACGCCCCGCTCGGAAACCGAATTGGGCGTCCGACAAATCGGGGCCAACCTCGCAAAGGTGCCGGACGATGCGGGCAGAGAGCACCCTCTCAAAAAGTTTACCCGCCTCGTCCAGCAACACGATAGGCCTATAGGCCGCGACCGATTCGGCAGGCCGTCCCGGCTTCTGCAGCAGGACCAGCTTCCCGCATTTCCAGCGCTCAGGGAAGCGTCCGGACGCCAGGCTAGCGTCCAACACCCCCCTGAGGTGGTCCGACATGTAGTCGAGGGCTCGGGCCATCACTCGGGCTGGAACCCCGTCCGGCCCGGGGGCAGTGTTCTTGGATCTAATCCGTAGAACAGCCGCCCCCAACTCCGATTCCCTGACGGGCGGAACATCAGCGTCGCTGCCCCCGTCGTCTCCGGCTGATGCAGCCATCGACGGGGGTGTGTGCTCCGCCCGCTGCGGGAATAGGCCCTCGACCACTTCCTGCAGGAAGCTGGGCTGGAGAGTCTCCGTAAGGGGGGGGCCCGACGTGCGGAGCTTTTGACGCACCGCACGATAAGGGCGACCCCAGGGGTCACGCTCGAGACTCTCCAGCATCTCCTCTCTACATGCATCTTTGGCGCGGCAGATGGCCAGCCTCAGAGTTTTCCGAGCTTCTCGGTAATCCTCATGAAGCCGGTCCACCTCCTCACCGACCCCGCGGTGACGTCGCCGACTACGGGTGAGGGACCTCCGGGCACGTACACAGGCCGCACGGAGGTCCGCCAACTCCTGGGACCACCAGTAGACCTCCTTCCTTGGAGGCCGACAACCACGAACGCGGGGCATGGCCGCATCGCAAATCTGCGTAAGCGCTTCGCAGAAGCGACCAGCCCCCATGTCGACCTCCTCGGTCGGGGCCTGTGGAGACAGCCAAGAGTAAATAATGGCCGCCTCCTCTAGTAGGTCCCTGTCGAGCTTGGCGAAAGCCCACCGCGGGAAGCGGGAAGGGCGCCGCGCCGCGTGACCCCTACTGGGGTCCTGGGACCGGGAGAGCTCGAATCGGATGTACAAATGATCCGAGAGCGTCTCGACCTCTTCCAGGACACACCAGTTCCTTACTCGTGCGGCGACTGCAGGGGTAGCGAACGAAAGGTCCACTATCGACCCCCCCTGCTGTCGCACGCACGTGTTGGTGGAGCCTCTGTTCAGCAAACAGAGGCCCACCGACGCCGCCCACTCCTCGACGGCTTCGCCCCTGGCGTCCGTCGCAGGGGAACCCCACGCAATGGACTTTGCGTTGAAGTCCCCCAGCACGAGGACGTGCCCAGACACTAGTCGCCGCATCGAGGCCTCCAAGTTGTTAAGGAAGACCTCGAAGTCGTTCAAACTCCGGTTGGGGGAGAAATATACACCATAAATGGTGATTCCCCCCCAATCGGCGGCAACATATCCAGTACCCTTGTCTCTTAGCGACAAGGGCGGGGAATGAGCCGCCGTGGAGCCGACGACTGCCACGGAGCCGTCCCGGTCACCCATCCAGTTTGGACGGGGAGGAACAAAGTAGGGCTCCGCGACTACGGCAACACCTATCGACCACTGTGCCATGGTTTGCAGGAAGAGATCCTGCGCCGCAGCACAGTGGTTGAGATTCGTCTGGACCAGGAGGTTGGAGACTTGATCCATTACTGGATCGTCTCTACAACCTCCTCCATGGGCGTCGGCGTCGACGCAATATTGACGTCGGGGGTAGCCTGGGTCGGCAGGCTAGCCCCCGGCGTTTGCCGAGAAGCGCGGGGAGGCTTGCAGCCCCCCTGCCCCATCATGTGATTGGCGGGCTTTTTGCCCGCCTCACACACCGGGCAGTGGGGGGCGGCAGAGCACTCTGCCGCCTTGTGCCCGGGTTGACCGCAGCGGAAGCATAATCCGCTGCAGTCAAAACAGCTCTCGCACTTGGTGCGAGTGTGTCCCGCGGCTAGGCACTTGAAGCACCTCATCGGCCTCGCGGCCAGAACCGTGATTCTGGCATTTACGAAGCCGACGAGAATGCTTCCGGCGTCGCCCAGTACTTTGGCCGACGCCACGGGACAGCTCACCCACACCGCACCGAGGCCTCCCAGGCCCGGACGGACGGTGCCGACTCTGATGGTGTCCGCGGTGCACCCAGTCTTCTCCATGACTGCATCGCGGACATCCTCCGACGTGATGGAGTCGTCCAGGCCCGAGATGCGCAGTTCCGCGCATTTGGTGGGCCTGGCGATCTTCACACCGTCCGTGGCGGCAAAAATCCCCCGCAGCTTCTCGGCGAACTTGTCGGCCGTCTTCGCGCCTTCAGCCCCAGGGAACTCGAATACTCGAGCTCCCGTCTGGGCGCGGCGCAACCTCATCCCTGCCGTCCCGAATTCAGTAGCGAGCCCGGGACGGGCCCCTTTAAAGAGGGCCGCGTATGTGAGCCCGCCACTGGCCGCCTCCGGCGACAGCGTGACCACCACAGCCGCGGTTTTGGGCGGCTGCAGCTTCCGCGGCCTCTTTTTTGAGGCCGTTGCCACCGGTGGCGAAGGCTGGGCTTGAGCTGCTTTCTGAGCAGCCCTTCTAGCCCGCCTTCGGGACTTCTTTGAGCCCCTCGCCTCCTGCCAACCCTCGTTGGAGGGGGCAGGTGCGGAGGGGCCCGGCAGGGATGTCGGAGCGGGGAGCGGAGGGAAAGCCACTCCGCTCCTCGGCGCCGCTTTAGGCCTCGCCTTGGCCGGCGCCTTGACTGGCGCCTGAGCCGGTGCCTTGGCCCCTCTCCTCGGCCCCTGGGGAGCCGGTGGAGTCGGGGCCGACGCCGCCGCCGCGTAGGAGACGCGGCCTTCCACCACGGGGAGCGCGGTTGGTGCAGCAGCCTTAGGCCGCTGCGACGAAGCGAGCGGGGGGCGCACGACCGGCGCAGGGGGCAGTCTCGCCTCCAGGCCGGCCAGACGGCCGTCCAGCATACGCCCAACTGCGTCGAGAATTGACCGCAGTTGGGCGTCAGGCACCCCTGAGGTCGCGGTTGGGACAGGCTGAGGCGCGGACGGGGCCTCCCGCTCGGGAAGGTTCGCCTGGAAGCGGGCGAACTGAGCGCTCAGCTCGTTCAACCGCTCCGTCAGCCTCTCGTTGGCCAGCTGCAGGCGCGACACATCGCCCGCTAGGCCCTCCACGACCTCCGACAAAGCGGAGGAGGAGTCCTTAAGGGCCCTCACAAACGAGCCCTTAAGGTTCACGGACTTGGTGGCCACCTTGTGGATGACGGCCACCGCCGCTTTCGCCCTCTCCTGCACGGACACGGGAGTCTGGGGGGCATTTCCCCCCACCGGCTCCCGAACCTTGAGCAGGAGATCCGCGATCTCCTCCTCCGCTACGGCCTCGCCGTCCACTCGTACACTCCTGTACGACTCCGCGTTTGAGAACGCGGAGCCTGACGGGGTCGAGACCGGGGCCGTTTTGCGTGCCCTCCCTCGGCGGAAAATGAATCATGTCCCAACCCCTTTGAGCGGAAAAATAAAAGTCCTTTTTTATTTTTGTTCAAAGTTGAGAGATTTTTTGATATTTTAACTGTTCATTTCAAAGTAAAACTTCATTACTTTGATGAATTTGCATATCCTCTCTCTTTAAGTTTGCTCGCAAAAAGTCAAAGTACAGTACAGTTTCAATAAAACATTCGACTAGTGCGAGTCGGACTCGCCCACCGAGGGTTCCTTACAAATTTGTATGTACTATACATATTATAAATTGTTCACGAATCTAAATTCAGTTTCCAAAATCTATAATTATTTTAATTATTGTGTTTTATAAGTGAAACATTATAAGTGAAATTACCTCGATGATTAATCACAATTATGATTTAATCACAAATGTATAGTATTTTTTCCTGTGCTTGTAGTATAAAACAATATTACTTGCCAAATTTCATAGTTCTAGGTCAACGGGAACTACCCTTTAAATTTTGATTCCCTTAAGATTGTCGAAATATACGTTTTTGCAGTATAAACGGCTGTATGTTTTCTTACGTTAACTGAGTTAGTTTCGACTCAAGGGAGATCTGAAAAATGGTTATAATTTCTACTCGATACCGCCACGAGTCCCTGAGTTAAAGGGTCTTGATAGACAGACAGATTATATAGTGATTCTATAAGAGTCATGTTTTTTCCTTTGGAGGTACGGAACCCTAAAAATCAGTCCAATTAATTTGAAAAGTAAACTGTACCCGAATCATTTATATAATTTAAGTAGTTAACAAACGGTGTCTTCTGATTTAGGTTATAAAAGAATCCTTATGCCAAGATGAGACCGTCAGTATTGGTACAGAAATAAACAAGAATGAAACGGCGGCGGATGAGTTACTAGAGCTAGGCGCCGACGCAGCACTGGATGGAGTATCTGCGGTGGCTGTGCATATTGAAACAGGCGAAGTGGCTGCAGCTGCTTTTAATAAATTACAAGTAACTGCTTCTTATATATATTGTAGTTAGAGCGTGAAATTGAGAGAAGGATAAATTAATGAACATAGTCAGAAGTTACATATTTATTATCATAGTCAATTTAAATACTTATTCCAGCATGATCTACCTTGTTAGTACAATGATATGACCGACTAAGGAAGCAAACTGCACAACACAACAACACTGCAAAGAAAAGGAAAACTTGAAACAAACCCTAGAGAAGGCCAGAACTGCCTTTCTAAAGAGATGCCTATCTCCAGCAACGTCCGCTGCTGAAGTCTGTTGAATATAAGTAGACGATAAATTAGAGATAAATTTTAAAGTCATCAGAAAATAGGAATACATAAGGCCAATCAATAATTAAAATAAGTTTCTTATCTCCTTATAGCCTCTAGCTCCTAATTCGTAGCACAATAAATTTCACTCTTGTTACTTGGATTGGAATAGATCTCAGTCTCATTACTTTTTTGTAACTTCTGTTGGATAATTAACAGAAATAATGAATACTAAGTGTACATTTTGTTAAGTTAATTTTAGATTTTTCGTGACTTTAGTGTTGAAGTCCATAAAAAATAATTGGTTATTATTTTACATTACTTCCGACAGTTTTGCATTTTTAGATCTCTTTGTTGTGAGTGCTGGAGTTAGAATATTTGTTTAATAAAATAAATATGGTGGTCGGTATCGCACATTTTGCCGAGGGGAAAAAATCGATAAAATTTTGAAAGGAAATTTTAAGCATTTCTTTATTTAACAATATTAAATAATTTTCTGTCAAAAATCTTACTTATGTGTGTCGTTACACATAGTAAGATTTTTAACAGAATTTTTTTGAAAAAAAAGAGAAAAGAAAATAGACAAATGCTTTGTGTTCACTTACTTACTTATAAGTACTACTAACAAAATTGGTATCTTCCAATTAAATTAAAGCAGCTAATAGTAACTCGTTTGCTTAGAAGATGCTATCTTATTTTATACTGAAATATTTTTTTACATAATTGATATGGTTTTGATTTCAGGTAGCTACAACAGATCCATCTGAGAAACCATTCTTCGAGATATTTGCAGCGGAGCGTTGCACTCAGGCATCGTCGCGTGCGCTCATTGAATTTATGGCGGACGTAGATGGGCGCTGCAACTTTTTTGAGAAGTAATTTGTCATTCATTTATATTTTATCCTGAATAAATAAAGTATTTGTGAAAATTCCCATTGGAATTCAACTTAGCTACCAGCTTAACTTAGCCAATAAGTAGTTAACCAGCCTTGTTTTTCCATAAAAAATATCTTTTATTAAGGATCTTACCCTTTCTGATGTGATAAACTTTGGCAGCAATAAAAACTTTGAATTTCTTAGCACAATAAACGAATTGTTGGTTAACAAGAAAGTCATTCTTAAGATAAGTTCTTAATCTCTCAAAAAGTTGAACCGACTTCAAACAATATTAAAAAAAAGCACTAAAAACCTAGCAGCAATCGTGGTGGATTTGCTGTCATATTTTTAAAAGGTCCGTTGTCTGTCTTCGAAACTCATCATCAGATCAATATAAAATTTAAATGGGATCAGTTCGGATAAACCCCTTTCAAACAAAAAATAATTTTGAAAATCTGTCTATATATGACGGAGTTCTGACCGAACATACATAAAAAAAAACATTCGAATTGATAACCTCCTCCTTTCTGAACTCTTTTAAAAAAAGGCCTTTGTACCTATAAATATATACATATTATTCTCTTAATAATCCTATAGCTCCCATTTAGCTTACTTTACAGCTTAAACTGCTATGTTCCAATCATGACAGAGATCTTTGCTCCATTAATAATCTTTTACTTCTATGTCCTTACACGCTTCTTCTTTTGTTCATTCCTCCTTTGCTGTCCAATCTTTCCCACTTGAGATCAGAATATTATCAAATCGTGACATGTTCAATGCCAAAGTTCGAGAATTTAGCAAGAAATAGCTGGCAGAAATATCCTCATGATCTCGTCACCTCAGATATTATTATTGTATAGTATAGATATTTATTTGTATCTATTTTATTTTCGTGTTTCTTTGTGTATTCGTCTACATATGTACTTTTAAATGGCACTGTTAATTGTAATTTTATATTTATAAAAGTTTAGTTCATAGCTTCTTTTCTTCTTTTTATTGTAGATATATTATGCTAAACGTTGTGGTAGTTTGTGTATGCTTCAAAAACTTAAAAAATTCTGCACCCATTGAGCTCAAATTTTGATACGATATAAAAACTAGCTAGCTACAAAAATTGTTCCAGTGTTCTGTCTGTTCTACTCTGTTTGAATGACCCATAATTGTTTACAAAATAAATGCAATCTTCGTTAAGCCAATAATACTCACCAGGTCACTTGAGCTACAGGATGCTCTACAATAGACAAATTGTGATTACACTTTGGTACTAGATCAATTGAGTTTACGCTTCTGCCATCCAGAGTCTGGTCTAATATTTGATGTGTTGCGTGATTGGAATGAACTACAATTTGTTTAAAAATAACACCAAGGCAAGCTACGTAATCAAATCAGCAAATCTGTTGTCTTTTCATATTCTCACTATCAGTTTTAAAAAAAGGCCTATTTCTAACCCCCTTTAGAGCCTACTGTACGTCTTTATAAATATGCGGCCTGTGGGCTAGATATATTTCCAATACAACAATGCGTTGGGTGCTGTTGGGCTGCCCCCCTTCTATAATGCATCCGAGATATTCGCAGAGACACGAGTGGACTGCTTTTACACCACTATGCGAATACGATGTGCATCTTTGGTGCGCAATATGTGGGCGAGCTCCATAAGCATAAATTAGCCAAGATTGCAGAGAGGTTAGATTGTAGGTACATTGGTCACCGCTGCGCCATCTCTCATGGAGTGGTGAGAAAAAATTCAAGTGCGCCTACAAACAAAAATGTAAATACACTTAAAAGGCATGCCTCGTAGTACATGAATAATAAATTGTAAATCGTCTCTACCAACAAAGCATAAGTTTTATGTATTACCAACAAAATAAGTAGTTACTTATACTTCATGGCTACTTCTAATAAAATGATATTATTATTATTAATATATCTTACCTAAGCATATGTTTCGAGAACTCGAATTAGGTTTCTTGTAAGAAGATTTTTATAAGTACGTTTGTTTTTAGATATACTCGATTTCAAATTTGAACAAAAACACATTTATCCCCAAAACTGTATTTATATACCTACACCCGTCTAATTACATAGTATTAAGTCTATTTAATTAATTAATTTGATGATACAGATAATATTTTCTGCTAAAACTTTCGTTTTACTGCAAAAAAATTAGTTTTTCTAGTAACTTTTCTTTGACTTGATGTTGCCCTGAAATGAGAGGGCCTTTTATAACTTTATATTTTAAATTATTTCTATTACCACTATTTAATTTATATGTATACAATGTCATATTTTACATCCAAATCATAAAACTGAGGTGAGTGGTAATATTCTCACTTATTCCCGGAGATTAATTCTGTGGGTCTCGTTTGGCATGATACCGGGAAGATAATAATACGTCTAATGCACATTGTGGTTCTATTCTCATAAATTGTTTGTTTTCTTTAATGAGTTTCAGATATAATGATATTGTAGGTATTCTTTTTTTAAATTTGGTATTTTAAAACTAACAGTAATGACCAAAAATATGTTAGAAGTGAGCTCCCATCTACTAAACTAAGGAACAAAGACAGTCGTTGAAACGTCGATGTTGCTTTCAGATTAACCTTTAATACAGGACCAGTGGGAAAAGTGTTTTTTACTTTCTTTTCTAGGTTCGGCGTAGACTGCAGCCTGGAAATAATGTTCCTAGCAACTCTCCAACACCACAGATTCAATAAACTTGGTACGATACTGTGTAAAATTTCTGTGGAGATAGCAAGAAAACTGAAAAATGGGCCTGTTTCAGTTATAACTGTCAAGGATTTTGGTCCCAAGTACTCTTTCATGCCAGAGCGAGAAGCTGTGAAAAAAGTGCCAAAAATCGTCCAAGCTATATGGACTGCAGAACCTGCTCAGAAGATCGGGAAGGCGTTAGATTTCAAAGTGTTTTTAACTGTACCGTTTACAGAGTATTCTTATAATGGAAAGACTTTTTCGGAGAGGGTAGGAGCAAATGTTACCTGTGAAGTTGCTGCAATTATATTATAAAAAGTTATCATTAATGTAAAACCTGTATTGTAATATTGTAAAACCTAAGTTACATTTTTGAGCTATATTTTTTTTTGCATGTTTAGCATTGTTCTCAGAATATTAAAATTTCAAAAACAACACATCTGACATGCTTCAGACGAAAGGTACTGGTATTTTAACGTAAATATACTTAAATTTGACCTAATTTAAGTAGACGAAAATTGAGTCAATAAAATATAACTCAACGCCGAACAAGGGTTTTCTTTATGCTCACTTATTTAAAGTACTCCATTTTATGTGGGTCGGTTAAAACTACTTTTGACATGACATTGGTTCTAATTCTGTTGTTCATAAACTCTCTAAACTAAACTAAAAATCACTAAAAACAATGTTTATCTGTCAAATACTACGTTTTCAGAATAGGAAACGTTGTTTGACAGAACTAAACAAATTTTTAGTGATTTTTCGTTTAGTTTAGAGAGTTTTCGAACAACAGAATTAGCACCTTTGTGGTATTTTCTGTAGTAAAGGTTTAATTACGTTCAAGTACACAATAAATGCTCTCAGTGTTTTCTTACTAGAATGATTTTCTTTAACTTTATCTAAGAACTTTTTGGTTTAATATTTCGTCTACTTTGCTTTGTGCTAAAAATTAATCGAGTTTTTATTTAATAAGTTGTCAAAATCAGAGATCGCGATTAAACGAGTTTTCTTTTCAATTCAAATGTGGTTAAATGTTATTTCAAAATGAGTAAACCATTTAAAAATAAATATGATCAAAGTCCTATAGATACTTAACAAAATGTTGAAAGTCATTTAGAAAATAAGCTACTTTGTAATAAAATTTTATTTGGCTAAACACAAAATTAATAATTACTAAAAATAACAATAATAATATTATTCCAGGACAACTTATATAGCAAGTATAAGCGTTAACCGGGATATTAACTTCTAGCGTTAGCTTTGCAACGGTCAGGCAGTTTTGAGTGGTTTCATTGGCCTACAAAAATGTCCAACTGCGGTAGTGGACCGGTTAGATTGGAAGAACCTAAGAGGTAGTTGAGTTCTATATGTTTGGCTGTTCAGCTCAAAACTAAATTCATATAAAAAGTACTATGAAATTTTTTCATTTTCAGTTAATTTTCTATGACTAACCTTGAAAAAACAGTAAGTCCTAGATAATCCTTTTCGTTTTTTTTAAAGTGTGTAAACCATCTAGTTTTATAATAAGTAATCATCGTGTAACTCTGTGGTAATATCTTTTTGTGAATTAAATTCATTTATCATTTATCAGTACGGCCATTGCATCTCAAATAAAGCACAAACACTTAGTTCCGGTGAATTATATAACTTAACACACATATTGTATTTTATCACTTTCTTACGAATGCAAAGAAGTAAATTCAGTTACTTATTTAAAAATATTTGCAGTGAGCAGAATTCTAACTATGGCTATTTATTTTTAGTTTTATTTAAATCTTCTTTACTTAATTTCATTGATATAAAATATTAAGCTTAGACTTACGAAGTATTATGTTTTTTTGCACTAACGTGATTGTCAACCACTCAATATTATATAAATTAGGTACTTTAGCGAGTAGTGAAAACGACTGAGAAATGTATGGTAGCAGTAAAATAACAAAAAACTAATGACGAATAATGTCTGCAAATCAAAAATGCAATTTAAATGAAATAAAATATGCCTAATGTTATTGTGTATTTAGTTGAACTAGAAATCACTACAAACAATAAATAAAATTCGTTTAATTTTAATTCATTTTTTTGACCAGTATAATCTGAACTGTCATTATAAAGACAAACCACCATGACAGGTCAAAACATACTGGCAACTTGTAGCTTGGTTTCCATGTTTTCACGATTTTTTTTAATTTGTAGAACATAATTTCCCTTATGTTATTCTTCCGCTCCACATAAACTTTCAGTGTTCAAAATTTCCCGTGAGTGCGTTAAATATTTTGTTTCAAAAATGCGTGTAAAACATTGAATAATATGAAGTATATTAGTGTGTAGTTAGAATGTTTCATTCGTTTATAACATTTTTATCAAGATTATAACATAATAATATTGTAACGATAAGGTCAGATACGTCGAAAGATGGCTCGAAGTATTTAATTATTGAATTGTCACAACTCACAAGTAGGTGACTTGTGAGTTGTGACAGTTCATTTCGCGAGAGCGACGCCTGCGCACGTGCATTTGTGTGTTTAAATATGGAGTGGTTAATAACAGATGACGGTTGGTAATGAGGTTTTTATTTGTCACATAAATATTAATATGCACATTCGTAGTAATAGAAGTGCTCTAGAATATTGTGATGTTATGGTTTTCAAGACAATGGTCTATATCGTGTCTACGTTGCATAACTTAGAGAAAGTGTTCGAAGTAATTACTGCTTGTTTTGTAATGATTATTTGTTATTTGTAGTCTAAAAAAAAAAACATTACATAACCTCGTTGAAATTTGCACTAAATACAGTCTAAATCAGTTAAAACGCTAGTTTTAGTATATTTTTTTTGGCGACAAAAACAGATCTTTAATATTATTTTCTATTTATCGAAATTAATAGGTCTTTACCTATAAAGTTGGAGATTTTTAAAACCAGCATTTTCAGATTTAATTATTTGACGCGTAAATCGAAATTCAAACAATATTTATTTCGAATAAAAATTACACAACAATTAAAAATAAAAACCTTGTTATTTTACTTTAATATTAGTGTTTTGAAATTCGTGTGTGAAATTGTGTTAGTTATAGTATATAATTATTTAGCATCTCAGTATACAATCTCAACTGCTAGCGTCATAAAGGTCGCAGAAGCTCGAAGAAAGTAAATCCATATTTAAAAAAAATGACAGACCAGCAACTGTTATCTTGCGTCGAATCTTTATAATTTATATGTTGTTGATAAAAAGCTATATAGCTGCATTTGCCAGGGGAAGGAAGATTTTCTAATTATCTTTTATTTCATTGTTATTATTAGATTCAATTATCAAAAGTTCAAGTCACAATCAAACGAGAGAGACAGGAAACTATTTACACCGATAATGTACATACGTAGGCGGTCTTAGCCATGTGTGACGTGTAAAAGAGAAAGCCACACGACCATTATTTGGGTCCCATTATGTTGGTCCATATTTTTACAACCAGTTTATGTTGAATGCTTAACAATATAATACAAAAGGCACATTTTCAAATTTTCATCCATAAAGTCTTACAGAAGATTTGTTTTTAGGCATTTAGACCACCGTTGAATAAATTTGTGCATGAGTTATGAAATAAATAATAGAGAATATTTTTGCAAGTTATTCATTATTTAATTAGAGGTCATTCATAACAGAACTACAACTAATATGTATTAGTTAGCTATATGAATTAGACGTTCTTTTATCGACTCCGTATAGTATAAATACAATTTCAGTTTAACGAATGTATACCTCTCACTTAAGTTTTAATTATTAAAGTTTGAGAGAATGCAGTCACACTGTCTTTTATTAGTACACATTAACACTTACTACAATTTTACAATTCCGGTTTCTATTTTATATATTTTGTATCCTCTTTCTTCTTATATATTAAAAAATACACATACATTACATTTCTATTAATTTCTTTCGGTTGTCACTTTTCCTCATAGGACACTTTGATTTTTAATAATATAACAGCCCTCTAATGCAGTTTTTTTTATGGAATAGGGGGTAAACGAGCAGACGGTTCACCTGATAGAAAGCGACTGCCGCCGCCCATGAATGCCTGTAACTCAGGAGATATTTGGATATATATTGGATGCTGATTCTGCTGCTGATTTAATCTAAAACAAGTTCAAACCTTTATTACAATAACCAGACTGCCCATAAACATTACATATACAGACAAACATATGTCTATAATATACCCAGATTAATATAGACATAAGTATGTACTGGGTACAGCCAAACAGAGAACAAATAATCATGCTCATACTCGTAGTACAATAATTTTTCTTGTTTGGAACTTGCACCCACAATTTTTTCCATAGCGATCAGTATCACTTACGAGTACTACTAAATCTACGGTTATCCTACTTATCCTTATTAAATCAGAGGTGCAAAGTTACTCTTGGTGTCTTACAATGTAGTGAAGAGTTATTACAAAATATTAAATATGGTTTATAAGGACAGCAAAATAATATCAGAAATATTAAAAAGTGAAATAAAATACAAACAAGGAAACATTGGAATGGTGCAATTTTTAAGCAGCTTGCATTTTTTCTTTATTCCAGGAAAGTACAGAATAGAATCTCTGTCAGCTGCAACGTTCCACGGTGCATTAAGAGTGAGTACCTCCTCGTCGTAAGTACTATCAGGCTACTTTGTCTGCTTCGATTTCCTTTAACAAACTCTTAAATACTACAACATATTTTTTGTTAATAAAGTCATGCAAAAACCTCCGAATTGGTATCATTTACCTACTATGGGATTAAGTGCTGTTTGCTTTAGTTATTCTCCATAGCTATTCTCCTAGCTCTTCCCATGAAGACTATTCTGAGAAGCCTCTCATTTCATTGGTCAGTTTCAAAAAGATACTACTTTCATGATTATGTTAATACACTAACCAATTGAACTGGCAAGGTCCAAGTAAGTTATAACCTGGCAAAAGTTAGTTTAAAAAAATAGATACTGTTGCTATTGTATACAAATAACTTTCAATTCGGCAACAGTGTTTATCTCTGGAATTTATTATTAGATTATTACTTTATAATCATGATACGGCACCGCCTCCTTAGTATGAACTTATAAATAAAAATCATACAAATTGATTAAGTTTCGAAGCAATTAGTGACATTAACATCTAGAGCCGCTCTTTAAAAAATTATTTTTTATCAGCTCTACGATTGACGAACCTTAAACGAATACAAATTATTTAATAACCGATGACTGTGTGACCCTGTAAACTATGAATTAATAGATTTTTACTAACAATTTCATATTTATTGTAGTAATTTCACAAAACTTGGAACA